TAATTTTTTTACAAAGAGGACAGTATCCAAGTTTGAAAAGAGTACTGCGAAAGACAGCTGTAAAACAAGTATTACACTGAACTAAGCCGGTCATTTTGAAATAAAATAAAATCACAATCTCAAGCGCACTTACCCTAAATGTGTTATTGGTATTCTTGGTTTATAGTTATATGATTCAAATTCCCAGAGATTGTGGGAGGAGCTGCTGGCTGCTTGTGAAGGAAGCAGAGGGTGAGTAGAAAGGAGAAAGATAGCGTGCAAACTCTCTGAGAAGGACACAAATATAATTACATTTAGCTTACCATTTGTAACATGTTCCTAGCAGTTGGTTTCACTGATCTCCTGAAAGCATTGTGCTTGTCAACAATCTCCTTTTGGTAATCAACCTTAAGACAGAGAGCAAAACAAAACAAAACAAAAATAAACAAAAATTATAACTTTAAATAGAACAGGCAACTAGCGGCCTCGGGGCTGAATGTCTTTTCTCCTGGACCAGGAGGACATCTCTTACAACTGTTGTTGAAAACTGGTGGCATGATTCCTCATCATTCTGAGACAGGAAACTCGCATATTTCCTAAAATAGCCCTAATGTAAGTTTGAAAAGTTCATACTTGTAAGCTGCCTTGAGTCGCCATGTGCGAGTAGGCAGCAATATAAATTTTATCAATCAATCAGAAATATTGGTTCATTCCTTGTGAATGGACTTTGCCTTATCTCCTGCTCTCACCAGACTACTCCTGCAACTTTCTTCACTTCCCCCTAATGGGAAGTGTGACCCCCAGCTATGAAACATTGGCCCCACTTGTCTGTGTATTTGGAAAGAGACTAGTCGCAACATAAGAAACAGGTGACCACAGCACAAAGTTAGAATGAATTAATCATTTTCCTCATCTATTCTTCAAGGGAATACTGCAGTGAAATTTATGTATTGATGTAAAGAGCTGATATAGTGTCTATCTCATTTAATGATCCTAAGTGGCTCACAACAGGAATAAAAAGAGAGACATCCTACCCACCAAGTATCAGACCAATGAGCCTCATTGAAACAAACATTTGGAGGAGGGGGGGGGCAGAGCCAGGTCTTCACTGCCCTCCGGAAGGCTTAAAAGGGTGGGGATCCCTCAGACCTCAGGTGTGTGTGTGTGTGTGCTATTCCAGAGGGTCTATAAGGGTCTAGAAGTTCTCTTATAGACCATGGACATCAAAATTATTAAGATTCTTTTCATTAAATGTGCCAGTTTTAATTATATTTGTCTGCCCAATTCAGCATGATTTTGTTTTGCTTTGTGTGTTCACCCCTGGAATGTATTTTTGAATTAAAATGAACAGTTAGACTGAGCAAATTTTACTGATCAGACCAAGAAACCAGAGTAATGAATGATAATACTATTTGATTACAACGTTACAGTAACATAGCAATAGAATCTTGAAAGTCTAAATGTACTTCTCCCCAGCTTTCATCTTATCGAGAACTAAGAGTAGTCTTGTCTGAGACTCTTTCTCAAATTACATTTCTGCATTGGATTCAGATTTATCTGACTGTTGTCTTGGCTTCATTTCTTCTTCTTGCTCCTCAATGTTATTTCAACCCCCTCACAAATATGAAACTATCCAATATATTTAATGAATGATTAATTGTAAGAGAAGAAAGTTATGTACTGTATATGTATTAAATCTTCTATACGTGATACAAAATTATGAAACTTACAGTTCCAGAAGACTGTTGCAGCACTGCAGCAAGACTTAGCAAGACAATGAAGGCAATCATTTCTAAAAAAAAAAAAAGAATATTGAGACATATCTGTGCTTAATGTCCTCAATGGAATTTGTGCCAGTTTCTTAAATAGTTCAGAATTTTTGCAATGTTATACCTTTCTGAAGATATATATCTCCTACCTAGACTATGAAACTCACTCTAACCCTTATGTCTTTTCTCTCCTTTAGTCCTTTGTACTCCAGAATGCATCCTGCATATCTGTGCTTCATTTAAAGAATATGTACAGGGGATATAAAAAGTGGACACATATTTTTTAAATGAAAATCAGACTAACATAAATCATATCAGGATTTTTCCACCTTTACTATAACCTATAAACTGTACAATTCAACTGAAAGATAATCTGAAATCTTTTAGGGGAAAAAAAAACCTTAGGACAATATGGTTATATAAGTGTGTATACCCTCTTATAAGTAGGGAAGTGGCTGTGTTCAGAATTAACCAATCATATTCAACCTGATATTAATTAGTAGTCAGTACATACCTGTCATTAATTAAAGTGACCTTGATTAAACCCATATAAAGTTGATGTTTTCTAGTAGGATTTTTCTGACATGTACTCAGTTGTCTCGTACAGCAAAAGGCATGGTCTGCGAAGAGCTTCCAAAGCATCAAGGGGATCTCATTGTTGGAAGATATCAGTTAGGAGAAGGGTACAAAAAATTTTCCAGGCATTGGCTATACCATGGAACACAGTGAAGACAGTAATCAACAAGTAGAGAAAATATGGCACACTAATGGCGTAAAGAAGTTGACATCCTTCCCAAATTGATGAAAAAGAATAAGAAAATTAGTCTGAGAAGCTGCCATGATGCCTACAGCAACATTAAAGGATTTATGGCAAGTATTGGTTATGTACTACATGCAACAACAATCTCTTGTATTCTTCATATTCCCTTGGCTGCAGGGTAAGGTGGCAAGATAGAAATGTTTTCTTACAAAGAAAAACATCCAAATCTGATATTTACAAAAATCTAACGAAACCATGCGAGAAATACATGTTGTGGCCTGATGAGACTAAAGTTGAACTTTTTGGTCACAATTCCAAAAAATATGTTTGGTGCAGAAACATATCACCAAAAGTACAGCGTACCCACAGTGAAGCATAGTAATGGCAGCTTTATGATTTGGGGCTGCTTTTTCTTTAGCTGGAATTAGGATTTTAGTCAAGGTGTAGGGAAAGACGAACAATTCCAAATACTGGTCAATTTTGACATAAAACTTTCAGATCTGTGCTAAAATGCTAAAGATGAAGAGGAATATTCAAATCAACAAAATAATGGCTTCACCAGAAAATCAAATTTTTGGAAGGCCCAGTCAGAACTCAAACCTGAATCCAATTGAAAATCTGTAGGGTGACCTGAATAGGGCTGTGCAACAGGAGATGATCTCACAATCTGACAGATTTAGAATGCTTTTGCAAGGAAGAGTTGGTAAAGATCCCAAGGCAAGATGTGCCATGCTGATAGGCTCCTATCCAAAAGACTAAATCCTGTCATAAAA